TGCATGGGCGAAATTTATCCATATATATATAAATAATAAACAAATTATTTTAAATTATGAAATTCTCTCCCCATAGAAGCACAGAGCTTTAGGAAAATGTAAAATCAACAAAAATACACAAAAAAGTAAATAATTTGCACTAAAATGAAATTGTGAAAATGGTCATATAATTAATTTTATAAGATTTGTAAAAAAACAAGATGGCAAGAATGATGACACTGAAGGCAGCTGTATACTTTATAAGCAGTATAGTCAATATAGTATTGAATAAGACCCTGAGGAGCCAGACAGGGCCCAGGCAGGAACAGGGACAAGTGAGTGTGAGGGGAGTATATACAGAGGAATGTGGTAAAGTGGTTTTGGGATGTGGATGGAGTAGTTTGGGTTGGTTGGTTGGGCTAGTATAAATATGTTGGCATCTAACAGTAGTGGAGACCTCTGGAGGCAAGCTCAGCCACTGGAACATTTTGTCCCTCAAGGGGAAGCTTCGGCCCTCCTGGGAGCAGGAGTGCACACCTGGCCTTGCGTAAATGCTGGTGAGCGGCCACGAGGCTCGCTTCACCTCCCTACTGGGCTTCTGACACTACCCGGGCAGCAGGGCGGTCAACGGTGGTCCGTGCCTACTTGTCTTCCCCTTCTCCAGTCCCACCAGGAGCTGCAGTCCTTCTTCCCGGGCCGGCTGGTCCGCAGTGCGCAGACTGATGGTGCTCCGGTGCAGGCTGAATCTCTTTCTGTGGCCGCTGAGGGTCTTCCAGTGGCTTTCTCTCCATTGGCGGACCCGCCACAGGGTTCCCGTGATCAAAGCGGGCATAGTGGTGGATGGGCCTCCAGGCAGGTAAGTAGACTTAAGAGTGTTCCCCGAGGGGCAGAGTTCTCCCTTCCTGACTGGGGGGTCGTGGCTGGGCGTAGTGTGAGGCAGATGTCTCCCCTTTCCCTTGCTAGCTCTGCTAGCCCCTTGCCCTTTCTGGGGGTGCCGTCTGGATCTTCCGGACACCCCTTGTCTTCCCACTCCCCCTGAAAAAGGGCCTGCCAGTCTGCCTCAAGAGGGGAAGGATGTGAATTCACATGTTCTTTCTTCCCAGGTCCGGACTGGGCCATGTTCCAGGCCTTGTTTTGTGTCTTACACCGGTATCGCTCCCATTGCAAGTGCCGGCTCTGGCCCAGCCTCTCGTGGTTACGGCTCTGCTACTCCAATCGACCCCCGTGCCCTTTGGTGAATCCGGTTTTGCGTTGGTAGAGGGTCATGCAGGGGCTAGAGGAGACCTTCAGGGTGAGCCGTTGGTGGCTTCTGACTCTCCTGCGCCCGCGTCGGGTTTGCTGAGTGTTGAGATCATACCAGTCACTCACAGGGCGGCCTATATGTCCTGGTCGGGCCCTCCCAGGTTGCATTTGTGCCAGGAGGTGCGAGACAAAATTCGGAAAGGGAAGTTTGTTGAGATTTTCTCCCTACTCCCCATGTAGGACTTGCCCCCTCCTGAGAAGGAGTCCAAGGACTCCGATAAGGATAAGGACAAGTTTAGGTATCGCAAGATTCCCAAAACATTTGGAAATTGGATCAGGGCCTTCTCGATCCTGGCCAGTGTTATAGGGGAGAAGGCGCCGGACAAATACTTTGCCCTGTTTTGTTACCAGGAAACCATATGGACGGCATGTCGGATGCATGAGTGATTAAGCTGGTGGCATTATGATGAACAGCTTAATTAACAGATTATGATCAGCAGCTGTCTGTTCACCCATCCGTCGGTTGGGTCAAATGGATATTGACCTGTAGCTGGCGATTATGACTTGCCCGGCCTCTCATCAGGGTGGTCTGTTGTCCTTTTTCTTTGGGGCCAGCCTGGTGGGGCACCCCACTGCATTGGCCTTACCCAATCGAAAGCCAGTGCAAATGGGGGTCCAGTTGTAAGTTTAAGCATGAATGCTCCATGTGGGGGGGTTCTCATTCAGCTTCCCACTATATCAAGTGGGGAAAAGCTGGGGAGCGAGGGGATACCGTGGACTTGAAAGGGGAGGATGCCGTTGGACATCGGCACGATGCTCCTATGGCTTTGCCATTATAAGATGTGTAGGGCAGCTGAACTGCTCCTTGTGGGGTTTCTATGATGGGTTAGTTGACAATTGACACTATTAAGACAATTACTGGTAGTTCTTTTCCCTTTTTTTTCTACTCCAGGGTTTTGGATTCCGCACCGGGTGAGGGATTCTCCGGGGGGTGTCAGAATCTCAAGTCGGTCCTGGATCACCCTGAGGTGGTAGCTGACAAGCTCAGTAAGGAGCTGTCACTTGGGAGGATGGCCAAATCCCTCACTTATGTGTCTCCCTATGGGGGTTGGTGCCTAACTTCTTATTAACACTTATTAACACAATTCAGTCATTTGGAGTTGGCTGATTCACCATTTGTCCTATTTGTTTGGAGGTTCGGTGAATAGTGATAATGACGAGGAGCTGTGTACAGTGTCTTACACGTCCTTTGACGCTGCGGTTCGGATGGTTCGGGTTGCAGGCCCTAGGGCACTACTGCCGAAAGCTGATATTGAGAGTGCCTTTCGGCTGCTTCCTGTTGGCTTGTTTCTTCCAGGGCATTTATTACGTTGACCTGTGTTTACCCATGGGTTGTATGATTTCCTGCTTCTATTTTGAATGTTTCAGTACATTCCTGGAGTGGTTAGTGCAGGAAGTACGGGAACTTGGCCTTCTTGGAGGTCTTCCCTATTGTGGTATCTTCTCAAGAATCGTAGGGTGGTCTTCCACTGTGATAATATAAGGGTTGTGCAGGCCATCAACAATTTGTCTGTTTCATCCCCTCCTGTGGTTCATTTTTAGTTGTTGTGCTGTTTGCTCCAGAATGCATACTATGTACATGTGCCCGGGGTTGCTAATATTACAGCGGATCCTCTTTCATGGATGGCGGTGTCCGAGGCGGACGAGATGGATTTCCCATGTCCAGCGTATCTGTGGGGCCTTGGGTTGACTGAGTGATTTTGTGGATCATTATGGTAAGGCATGGAGCGAGTGGCTAGAGTTTGAAAGGCAGCTCGGTGGTTTTCGGTTGGATGGTGAGTGAGTGCAGGGTTTATTACAGCTAATTTGGTTCTGGAAGGCATCGAGTTGTTCCTCCTCGACTGTGTCTGGGAAGTTGTCCGGGCAAGGCTTTTGGTTTAAACTCACCAGGGTGTCGGACATTACTAAGGATGTCCTAGTTTCGTTTGGTTATGAGGGACTGGCGGAAAGGGCCAAAGCGTTCTGATTCTCAGAGGTCGGTTTCTGGCACTCTTATGGTGGGCATTTTCTTGGTTTGTTCCTCCCCATTCAAAGTGACGTTGTTTCGATTGGCATTCTCCTTTGCCTTTTTTGGGGCTATGCGGGTGAGCGAGCTGCTGAGCACATCCAAATCGGTCCCTGGGGGTTTGTTATTGGGGGATGTTTTTGGCATAGCACATGCCGTGAGGTTTCTGATTTGCAGGTCTAAGACGGATGTTCTGGGACAAGATACTTAGGTCACATTACGGAGCATCCCTAACTCTATGGTTTGTCCTGCGGCATGTCTTCATGCTTTCTGGGAGATTCGCCCGACGGGCGAGGGTCCTTTGTTGTTTCATGGAGATGCTAGTTTCCTGTCTTGATTTCAATTTATCAGGGTTTTCCACATGGTCTTGGAGATTTTGGGGCTGTCTAGGGCAGAGTTTGAGGGACACTCCTTTGGCATAGGGGCTGCTACTGAGGCATCATGCCTAGAGTTGGCTGAGGAGGATATCGTAAGGATTGGGAGATAGGAATCTGGCAGGTTCCGATCATATGTTCGTCCAACTGGACTTATTCCGTTTCCCCTTTTGTCATTATAGGTGCCGGAAAGCGACTATAGGTTATCGGCCATTCGTACATCCATTGGGCACAGCTGCAGGCTCAAGTTCGCCCTGGGGGACTACAATTGGGCCTGTCGCCAGCAGAATTCCATTGGTTCGGTACCCGGGGGACGCGGTGGGAGCAGCTGTTGCCTGAAGTGGTCCGTTTATCTGGCCTCCTCAGTGTTCCTGATATCATTTTAATACATGCTGGTGGAAACGATCTTGGCACTGTTCCGGTGTGAGATCTGGGGGAGAAGATTTAGAAGGATTTGGTGGAGCTCTGGTTCCGATTTCCAAGGGTATTTCAAATATGGTTCAAGGTGCTCTCTCTGAATTTCTGGCGGGGGACTAGGGACCCCAGGTCTTTGGAACGGGGCAGAATTAAGCTCAATAAGAGGTTCTTATATTTTGTTAAGGGAATGGGAGTCTCACGATGCCTCATTGCTCCTTTAAGCGTAATGCTTTGATTTATTTTCTTAGCAATGGTGTCCACCTGATGGATGTTGGGCTGGATTTATTTAATTAGCTTTGCAGGAAGCTTTAGAGGAGGCCATGGCTGTGGTGTTGGGGCGGCTCCGCTGATTTAGGGGGTAAACCAGCGGGTCTTGTGGTGGTATTTGGCCCTTGTCAAGCGGGGGTTGGACCAGTGGTCCGTGGAAAGTGGATGGGTAGGGCTGTCCCTCCCCTTACCTCTCGTACAGTAATTGATAACGGACATGCCCACTGAGCCAACTAACCGGCTACGCAATGGAATGCCCAAGAAAAGGCCTTGTGCTGGTTGGAATGGGGGGAAGGGGGCATCTGCCCTTAAGTTATGTTTGGTTGGCAAGGTTGTACTCAGTGACTTATCTATTTACTGAGTAATTATGTATATAGTGTTTTATGTTATAAAGTTGAAGTTTAAAGATTTATATATTTATATTTTAATAAAGCTGTGGCCTATTTTAATCCAAAGCAAATTCTGGTGTGTTTTCATTGGAAGCAAAGCTTGGGTTTATCAAGGGTCAGATATATGCCCATACACAGTTACCCTCTACCTACGCACAATAATAAGTGAGTCTAAGTATTATAATTTAGATTTATTAAGAAACAATACACAATTACTATAACATTATTATGTCTTCAAAGCATGTGACATGCAATTTTTTGGGGATTATAAAAAACAATTTTTCCATTTTGTCTACATTTTATTTATCCTATAGTTGACGTTGTATAATTTAGGAACATCTTTAATGATACTTGTGGCGAAACCAACCTCGCCACTATGCACTGGAGAAGCCTGGTTGCCAGCCTCCTGCCATCTGACTATGGCCCCCTTGTGAATTCGTACTTTTCTATGCAATATTTGGGCATGTGACATTTTTATATTGCTGCTACTGGCCCTTTAAGGGCCATCCGTGGACATATTCTGACTGTTAGGAATAATGCCCTTTAAGATTGTGTAGCAAATTGCATTCAGGCTGTATTTAATATTATGTGTTCGGTAAACAGTATTATGTGTATGCGGCATTCGTCTGATTGTTCGGTAGAATTACTCCATTCATTATATTGGGTGAAACTACCGAACAACCAGACCACCCTGGAGTAAGTGTGCCTCCAATTACCGTTTGCAACAATGTTGCAAACGGGTAATTGGCAATATGTGTAATGTGTGTTTTGTCCTCTGGGTGGCCGCCATTCGGGAAACGAACACGTGGCGGCGGCCATCTTAAACTCCCGAACAGCGGTGTTTTGCCGTCGAGTGTCTGGAACTAAAATCGGACACTCGACTAAGCAAACACCGCTGAGACCTCCAGACTTCCAGCAATTCGTGCAGAAACTACCGAACGGCCCGCCGTTCGGTAGAAAGGATCCCACGAACAGGGGGATTCATACGAATCCTCCCCAAGCTCTATAACCCAGGCAATTCGTGTGATTCATTCCCTTTTCTGTGACCGACTGCAGGGCCAAAGTACATGGAACTATTTTCGGATACTTTTGCCATGCAGTCGGTCAAAACTTTAACCCTTTATAATTCCTGAACCCCTGGTCCGATCTGGGTGATTTTTGGATATGTGTCTCACCCAGATCAGGGCTACCAGGGGATGTAACATTTAAAGGGGTATCCCTATGTTTAGGGGTACATCCAGTATCCCAGGGAATTTGTGTCTGTACTAATGGGATTATGTGTCACACTAAGGGGAGGAGATGTGTGGGAGGTAACTGGTACATTATTGGCTGGGGTACTAATTGTTGTGGATCCCTCCCTTGCATGGGAGAATGTCTTAAAAGGAGGTTGTGTGAATAAATCTGGAGTTCCTGTTTTAACCCTCAAAGTGAAGTGTCGTCTCATTATTGGGGGAAGGATTTATTATATGCTGTTCCAGTTAGACTGCTAGGAGAGTAAACCTATTCATATGGTTCCTATTCAACTGTCTACAGCATTCATATGCTTGAGAGCATTCATATGCTCCTACGGTTCGGTGGTTTTGGTGTCTGCTGCAGTGCTTGGAGTCCTCAGGAAGTGCTAGGAGCATCCTTCAACGGAGGTACCCAGTCGGGGTGCCAGGCGATCCGTTACAATACTAACATCTATGAATAAACAAATATTTAAAAACTTCCTAATCCTATCACGTACCAAACTCTATGGATTGCAAAATCTTACACATTGCCCTATAGACTACCAAACAAAATCCTCAATTACTATATTGTTGGATAAGATTTCCAAAGATTTTAATATTTTGGATAAATAATTAAAATGATTTCATATTGTGGCGAAAGTAACCTTGCCACTGGTACTTGGAAGGGCCTGCTTGCCAGCCTCTTGTCCCAGGATTATGGGCACTTCAAAAAGACATGTTAAAAAGTGACGTCCATGGAAAAACCAAACCACTGAACCGATCTGGGTGATTTTTGGATATGTTGGTCACCCAGATCAGGGCTATATGAGGATGTGACTCTTGTGGGCTTTCCATGGATCTTGGGGGTACTTTTGGGGTGTTTGCAAATTGAGTGTTTTTCTGTACCTGGAGACAATTAATTATCTCTGAGACACATAGGAGGAGTATGTTGAATGTATTGCTTGTCTGTGCCTCTTCCCCTCCCCCTTTTTCCTGTCCTATTGTTTCCCCAGCAGGGTGTTGTCCCAGGGACACTGCCAGACCAGTTTAAACTGGCTGCCCTGTCCCTCCTCAGTCTCCCATCAGCCCTTGCTATTGTCTGACCCCACCCTTCCTTGTACTATAGTGCCCTATGTAACCTATTGTATGTAAATGAGGCTGTTGGGGGTTTAAATGTGTGTATAAATTGTAAGTGCTGGCTTGCATTAAATATACCTGCTTTACCCCTTCATGAAGTCTTGGGGGGATGGGATAACTACACTCTTGGGGATTGCTATAATCACAATAATCCTCTTGTATAATAAGCTCTTGTAAGAGCTTGTTCCTGCTACGCTCTCTGGAGTAGGAGAGGTCTACCCACTGGAAGCTGGATCCTGGTCTTGGGTCCAGGGTGGGTGAAGGGCGGCAAGACCCCGGCGCAGCTGCATCACTGGAAGTGGGGTGTGCAGTGCTTATGGTGTCTGGTGGAGTGCTTGGAGTCCTCGGCAAGCAATAGGAACATTGATTGGCGGAGGTACTCGGTCGGAGTGCCAGGGGTCCGTCACATATATTATTCAAAATGATAAACATTTTAAAAAAATTATTTTTTTGTGAAATTCTTTTATACATGAAATATGTTTTAAGCTTTATATGATAAAAAGAAAACATTTTAAATGTTTAATCAACATATTGAATGATTTGAAAAGCTTATACAAAACTAGGATATTGAGACCAAAGTATGGGAGATAAACAAGACTTATTAATGAATTAAATTAATGCAGACCATATATAACGATACATAAAATTAAACACAAACTAATAAGAATATTCAGAGCAGGAAATATATTTACAACCTGTATATAATGATGCAATATTAGCTGAGACATTACTTTAATCTCTACTCCAGGTTCTTCCAAAGGAGTTGTACTGATGTCAAGACACAATAACAAAGTAGGATGTTTTTTTTCCAAAAAGGGTAGGAATAAAAATATAATTTCAGGTGAATAATATTATACAGGTTTTTTTTTTTTTTCCAAAGACAATCATTCTTGTGAAAGCTGAGTACACAATTTTCAGTAGGCATTATATTGACAGTAAAATAGTCATGAATGGTAAAATGACAGCGTTAAAATGCAGTGTTAGCAATGGCATTGATAATATAAATATTGATCTATTCTAAATGCCTTCCATTCTAGACATTCCCGATACATCCACACCCTTCCTTTGGAAGATCTTCCTCAGTTTGGAACTTGACTGTATGACAATACAGGAATGGGCTACTGGAAAGGAGAACATCAGGAACCAGCTCAACAATGTGAGGGCATCATATTCATTAAATATGGAAAACAAGCTAAAGATTTGTGCGACGCTATAACTCAGATACAGGAGGAGAAGCAGAGTCATGGTTCGGGCAGCTCTGATATGAGCCTGGAGATTAGGACGACTGATCTCCGAGTCATTGTGTTTTATACTCCAGACATGTCTCAATAGGGAGGTCAGTGAGTAAACGAGGCACAGAGTGGAGACAATGAAAGGGAGAAAGGATCCCACAACTAATGAGGTCATTTGAAGCGGAAAGTTTATATGAACCATTCTGCTGACAGCAATTGAGTTCTTAGTAATATTCCCATATGAGTCCGATTGGATTTTCAGTTGTACATTCCAGATATAAAGGATGCTTAGAGAAACAAATCCCATGGCGAGCACCAAAATAAATTTTGGAAAGACTGTTGAGAAGTTACCTTTCAGCCATACAAGGAAATGGTGTCTGAAATTAGCGAGGCTGGTAACATAACGTACACAGAGACAGGCATTTAGCCAGATATTTATAGAAGACAGAAAAGCCAAAAATACAGTGTGAGATACAAACACTTCTTGAACATATGATAAATTGGGGGAAATAACAAACATAGTGCCTTGTACAGTCATTATACACTGCAGGAGAATATTTACCAGTCCCATCGCAATGTGGATTTGATCAACAGGTTGCAGATGCACAGTCTTTTTCCAGTCTTTGAAATTAACCACCATAATGACTGTGTTCAAAGTGAAGCCAATTAGACTCACCAGGAAAACTTTCTCAAAGACGACGTTCCAATAAGCAGGAAACATGGTCCCATCTGGGATGTGATACGTGCTGTGCGATTGCTGGATACAGAGTGCTTACTGCAGAGGATATAAAAGCTCCGAGATCTGACCCATTGCGTGAAATCCAACTCATGCAAATCATTCAGGAGATTGGCTTCCGTGCTAACTACAACATTTTTACAGTGATGTCCTTTATTCACTGGCTGGAAGCAGATTGTTAATACACACTGTTACTCATCTCACTATCTCTTTTATAATAGCTATATATTTTTGCTGATTTACTCAAATATTTTAGTACAATAGTTACATGAGATTCACATTAACTCCTAAATACTTTTATTTGTTGTTTTTATTTTTTGCAGTGGCTGATTCTGATCTGAATCCGGTCATTTGGTCATTTCTGGACAACCTGAAATCAGGGTTAGGTTCTGGATCATAAAAAAAAAATCAAAAAAAAAAATCACACGATTCTCATCTCACATTACAAAACAAACTTATAATATTAATGACTTTATTACCTGCAACACCAGAAATGTTACATACATGATGGACTCCAGTATGTAGGAATGACATCTGGAAGTCTTTAAACTAGGCTGGCAGAACATTGCTGTAATATCTCCAGGGGATATGAAAATTGTACTGTTTCTAAACATTTCTGTATACACCACAATGACCCGACACATTTATAATTCATGGATATCCGGAAATATATCCCCTGGACATGAGGCAATATAAAAAATATTTTAAGTAGAAAAGAGATGGAGTGGAAAAAAAACATTAATTCCAAATGGTTTAAATGCTGATTTTGCCTTTTTTTTTTTTTTTAAATTATACATTTTACATATGTCTTTTTGCATTTTTAAAATCTTACTACTAGAGTTGAGCGAACCCGAACTTTCCAGTTCGGGTTCGTTCCGAACATTACGGTTTTTGGACTCTGAACCCGAACACGGACATTTCACTGTATGTTCGTGTTGGAGTTCGGTGTTCGGCAATTTAATGGCGTGTTTTGAAAGGCTGCAGGGACAAGCATTTGACTCGTGTGCCCTTAGAAGCCATCACAGCCATGCCATTAGTAGGCCAGTGCAGCATGTGACCCAGCCTCTATATATAAGCTGGAGTCACGTAGCGCTGCATGTCACATGAGCTCTTATTAGTGTAGGGAGAGGATGCTGCATCTGTAAGGGACAGATTAGGAAATAATTCTGGTGTTAAATTTGCAAATTACAGTGATTATTTTTGTGGGTGTATTATACAAAAGTTTTGTACCCTGTCCTGAGCCCAGTGCCACAGTGAGTGCAGTGCACTTGCAACTGCATGTGTGCCAGGCACATTACTTTAATTCTGTTCTGATAGCTCAGTGGGCAACATCTAGGCATTTTAACCCCTTAAGGACACAACTTATGAAATAAAATGGAATCATGACAGAATATTTACGTCATCTGTCCTTAAGGGGTTAAATACTGCAATTGTTTTGGTACTAAATAGTACATTTGCGTACTGCATTTCTTGCAGTCTAATAAAACCCTTTAATACTTCTGTTACATTGTTGGTTTAACAAAATCACACTTTTTTGTTCTAAATAGTACATTTGCATCCTGCGGTGCACTTCATATCTGAGAGTCAAATAGAACCGTCAAATACTGTGCTTACAGCGCAGTTTGACTAATTCACATTTCTTTCGTGCTAAATAGTAAATTTGGGGCGTGCACTTCATATCCGAGAGTCAAATAGAACCATCAAATAGTGCTGTGACTGTGCAGTTCGACTAATTCACATTTCTTTGTTGCTAAAAAGTACATTAGTGGCGTGCACTTCATATTTGAGAGTCAAATAGAACCGTCAAATACTGTGGTTACAGCACAGTTTTAAAAAATCAATTTTTTTTTATGCTAAATAGTACATTTGGTGTGTGCACTTTATATCTGAGAGTCAAATAGAGCCGTCAAATACTGTGGTTACAGCACAGTTTTAAAAACTCAATTTTTTTTTATGCTAAATAGTACATTTGGTGTGTGCACTTTATATCTGAGAGTCAAATAGAGCCGTCAAATACTGTGGTTACAGCACAGTTTTAAAAAATCTAATTTTTTTGATGCTAAATAGTACATTTGGTGTGTGCACTTTATATCTGAGAGTCAAATAGAACCGTCAAATACTGTGGTTACAGCGCAGTTTTAAAAATTAAATTTTTTTAGTTGTTAAATAGTACATTTGGGGCCTGCACTTAATAACTGAGAGTCAATTGGAACCGTCAAATAGTGCTGTGACATTGCAGTTTGACTAATTCACATTTATTTGGTGTTAAATAGTACATTTGGTGTGTGCACTTCATATCTGGGAGTCAAATAGAACCGTCAAATACTGCTGTGACATTGCAGTTTGACTAATTCACATTTCTTTGTGCCTGCGGTGCATTTCTTGCAGTCTAATAACTTAAACCATCTGTTAGTTTGGTGGGTGAACACAAAGAATGAGGAGAGTGTCAAATAAGGGACGGTTGGGCCTGAGGCGGATAGCAGTTTGGCGCATGTCCTTCCGCCACCGAGGATTGCAAGGCATTTCTCTTTGCCTCCTGTTGCCTCCTCCTCCTACTCAGCTTCCTCCTCCTCTACCACCTCCTCATCCGGTCAGCTTAACACCTTCACCATCCACTTCAGCACAGCCAGGGGGAAACGACAGCTGGCTGTTTTAAAACTCATATGTTTGGGGGGAAAAACGCACACCGCGCAGGAGCTGTGGACGGGCATGGAACAACAGACCGATGAGTGGTTGTTGCCACTAAGCCTCAAGCCCGTCCTGGTGGTGTGCGATAATGGGTGAAATCTCGTAGCAGCTCTGGGCCTAGCCGGTTTGACTCACATCCCTTGCCTGGCGCATGTGCTGAATTTGGTGGTGCAGAAATTCCTGAAAATCTACCCGGATATATCAGATCTGCTGTAGAAAGTGCGCTGCAGCGTAACTTCGGCCTTCCCGCTCACCGCCTCATATGCTACGTGCCCTATGGGTCACTTAGTATAAACTAGGTACACAGTAGCAGAGGTTCGGGTCCCCATTGACTTCAATGGGGTTCGGGTTCTGGGTCAAGTTCGGGGTCAAGTTCGAGCCCGAACCCAGACCTTTTTTCAAAGTTCGGCTGAACCCGCCGGACCTGAACATCCAGGTGTCCGCTCAACTCTACTCCCTAGAAGTTCTCCCCTAAATGGCACAGACTCTGGTCTAGCTGTTGCTGATGTACATGTTATACATAAATAAATTCTAAATAAATTAGGGAAAAACACGAACACCCAACCCATAAAAATCGTATGAGGTGTAACCTTTATTAATAATATTAAAACACAAAAAACAAACAAACGTGGTAGGGCGTGGCCAGACCACTCATGAAGATGGAAACTTGAGATTGAAGCTCTCTCTGTCTCCACGCACCAGCATGCCCAAGATGGCACCGACAGGCCACCTCCAGCTCTGCTAAACAACCTGCCCCTGTCATAGACTCCCCCATACAGAAGGTGTTAAAAGAACTGCAAACCTCCTTGCAAAGTGACTTTGCAAAATTGGCATGGGACGTCCACTCTGACATACAGGCGTTGGGGGAGAGAACAACAAGCCTCGAGGTACGGACCGAGGAAATTATTTCAGCACATAATACACTAGCAGACGCTTGCAAAGTTATGATGGGAAGCTGGCTACAATCCTCGACAAGTTGACAGATCAAGAGGACAGGAGCAAGATCAACAATGTTTTCTTGTATGGGGTGCTGGAGGAAATCCTGCCTCATCAACTACAGACCTTTGCAACAAGCTTCTTCCAGGCTCTAATACCTGACCTCACAGATCAAGCATTAAACTTGGATAGAATCCATTGACTCCCAAGGCCAAAGAATCTACCGACCACTATTCCCCGTGATGTGATCACCCGCATCCACTTTTATCAAACAAAAGAGAGAATTATGCAGGCCTCAAGGGCCACCCCAGAGGTGCCGGAAGAATACAAGAAAATTTAAATATTTGCAGACTTGTCTGCAGCTACACTGGTGAAGGGTAAATTTTTTACAAATGGGGATTCCCTGCTCGTCTTATTATGGCACAGACCGACATCTCACCACCCCTGAAGAGGGAAAAAAGGTACTAGCGGAACGGCAGAAGCCTGTAACCTCCAACAACAATCCTCCGCAAGCCAAAATGGCAAGGCGCTCCCCGGCCAAGCTGCGACAGGTGTGGAGTGTGGCTGCCTCAGCTAAGTGACTCAAGTGTCCCATTACAGGACAGTTTCAGTTGCAGCTAGGTGGTGGAATGGCGGTGACTATGTCTTTACTGCCGGCGGGCGTCTGAGTACACCTTGGTTTCCTTATCTGCTCGCGTACTGACTCTATTATTAGTATGTGCTCAGATGATGAGTTAAATGTGCATGATTTCATAATATTGTACCTTTTGAGCTACAACTCAGGGTAATACAATGCACACAATAATGTGATCCTTAGTACATAAATTACCCTACCCCCATAGGCTCCTAAAGCCTGGTAATGCTTTTCGACCCGGAGTGTAACACTCCCACATGGATACTTGTATATAGTTTA